TAGTTGCATGTCATAGCTGCACATCCTTCTAGTTGCTGTATGTGGGACTCGGCCTCAGGATGGACGGAGAAGCGGTGCCTCGATGCGCACCCGGGATCCGAACCCGGGCCGCCAGCATTGCAGCGCGCGCACTTAACCACCAAGCCACAGGGCCGGCCCGCCTGCACATCTCTTAAACTCTCATTTTACCAATCTTTCACTAATTTTCTGTTCAGCACTGTGTAATCTGTTGTTAAAATCATCCATTTAATTTTTAATTTCCAGTAAAAATTTGAGGGAAAAATTAAGTAATTGAGTGACATCTTAAGGTGTTTGTGGACAAGCACAATGCATACCACGGAAATCCTTCCCTATAACCAGGACTATATTCCCACTGCATGTGATAGATTATATTAGTGCTCCCAATTATTCACTCTCTCTCTTTTTAAGAGGATTAGACTTCCCACCCTGTTGACATCAGGCTTGGCCATATGACTTGCTTTGTTCAATGGAATTCAAACAGAAGTAACACTTATCATCTTCCTGTGGAAGGTGTACGAGTTATTGAGTGATCTCACCAATACACCTGTGCTTCCAGAACAACATGCCCTAGAAGGATCCAATCCTTCACTCTGGATCTGAGAAGTAGAAATGACAAGCACAGACACAGTAGACATAGCTAAGTTGCCATGCTAGTGAGAAATAAACCTTTATACTTATATACCACTAAAATTTGGCAGTTGCTCATTACTGCAAGATAATCTAATAAATGCTAACTCTCATACCCTCTTCCTTTCCTCCAGAGGGATATCCTCATTACCTTACCCACTCTTCACATTTTTTTTCTCCTCTGGTTCTCTTTCTTAATAAAATAAAATGTAGTAATATTAGCAACTTCAATTTTAGGTTATCCTTTAGAAAATAACGTTCCTTTTGCTTTCTTTAAAAAAGTATGTTTAACATACAGATAAATTTTACAAATTTGATCATTTCCAAAGATGATAAAATCATTAATAAATTTTAAAAAACTTCCTATTCAATCATGAAGTATCATCATTACTTCTCTCTCTTTTTTTCTCCTTCCCTCCCTTCAGTAATTAATTATGGATAGCATAGTATGTGTCAGGCACTATGCTCAATGATGTGGATTCAATGGTGAAGAAAATATAGTCATGGCCTATGTCTGCCCTCATGATCTTCTCAGTTTTTGAGGGAGATGGACATCAGTCAAATATTCACACACACAAAATTGACAAGCGATATGAAGAAGAAGAGTATGTGCACCATATGCACACATAATAGAAGAATTGGATTTAACTGGACAGTCAATGAAAGCTTCCCAGAACTAACTCCTAAGCTGTAATCTTAAGGATAAATAGTAATAAACTAGGCAGAAGAGAAAAAAACATCATAGGAAAAGGAAATAGCATAAAAACACCATATGGGCTGGGAAAAAAGTGGCAAGTAGGAGAAATTGAAGTAAGGCCCTTATATTTGAACCAAATGATAAGGGTGAACCAGGTGTGATATGAGACTGCAGAGGCAGGTATGCCTACCTGTTTAGGGACCTTGTGAGATACACGAAGGAGGAGTTTTTGTCCCTTACTCCTACTAAAATTAATTCAGGGACGGAAGAGAACCGATCATATTTATAAAAGAAAGAAAAAAAGAAAAAAGAATGCACCTACGACAACGTAGATAATGGATTAGAAAGGGAGCATAGTGACTGCATGTAAACCAGCTTTGGAAGTCACTGTTAGTTCATGCAAGACATGATGACAGCTTGTACCAGGGCACTGGTGGAGTGGTGAAATGGATAGATTAAAAAGATATTTGCTATGTGGAATATTTCTTGTTAACATGTTGAGTGTGAGGGTGGAAATAGAAAGAGGAATCAGGAAAACTCGTAGGTTTCTGAACTAAGAAAACTAGTTTTGTAGCAGCAGAGAAGAAATGAGGGTTGACTGAAGGAGATCAGGAGCTTGATTAGACATTTTTGTCTTTTTTTTTTTCTATTAGCCCCATGCTAACATCTGTTGCCAATCTTCCTTGTTTTTTGTTTGGGGAAGATTAACCCTGAGCCAATATCTGTGCCGATCTTCCCCTACTTTACATGTGGATCGCTGCCACAGCGTGGCTGACGAGTGGTGTAGGTCCAGACCTGGGATCCAAACCCAGGCCGCCGAAGAGGAATGCACCAAACTTAACCACTATGCCACGGGGCCAGCCCCTGACATATATTAATTCTAAAGTATCTTTGAGTATAAGAGGATATGTCAAATGGTGATATGAGTGAGTGTAAAATTCCTTATAAGATCATTTTTTCACTATTTTGATTTTTCTAAAGGGATTCAGAGTAATTAAAGAACAACATTTGGAATAGAAATAAAATTTAAGCTAATGATAAACACAAACACCACCATACCACCTCAGGAACACTAAAGAGGTTTATTATATTTGACATATTAGATGCTATATAAGAATAAAAATCATATTTGCAGAATTACCTGTCATTGATATAACCTGCTATGGTTTCAATATCAATCCCAATTTTTTTATTTTCTTCCATCAATTGACTACATGCTATTGAAATATCTGAAAAATCTTTTGCGACATCAGAAAGCTCTATATCCCATGTTTTTTTCTTTAAGAAAAGAACAAAAGAATCATTTATACATGTTTATGTATTTTGAAAAGAAAAAATGTATAACAATGAAATTACTTTTAGTTGTAGGAGTTAATATTTAAGCTCAGGGAATAGAGCTCTAGTGGGAAGTAAGGAAAGGTCAACTTACCGCGGCATAAAAATTATTAAGTGCTTCCAGATATTCACTTTCATTAACTTTTTTCTTCCAGACTAGTTGATCATAAACCCTTTTCAAATCATCTAGCTAAGAAAAAATATACACAAAACATAAATGAATTGTGGAGCTTTCCATTCTTTTGTAAAGGAAGAAACAGATTATATTTCAAATTGTGCAGCTACCATAACTTATTAAATATGAATTAAAATAATATAAAAAAACTAATCACAGACTGTTTTCATTTATGAAAATTGATGCAAGATTCTGAATAAAATATAAGAAATCAAGTCTTAGTGCTCAAATGAATAACTAATCATAATAAAATAGAATGTATTTTAGTTACGTTGTAAGAATTGATAAAAACTAGAAAATTTAAATCATAATTCATCACATTAACAAATTAAGGAGAAAATAACACAAATGTGGCCAACACTCCACAAAATAGTCATTTGATAAATTCACTATCTAATTTCCATAATTTTTAAACTAATACAAGGAAAAACTACCCCAATATACCACAAAGAAACAATAGAAAATATCAAAATAAATCATAAAATGCCAAATGCATGCCCATTGAACTCAAGAATGGGACTATATTATCTTTTATCACCACTATTATTAATCATATTTTGTGAAAGTTTAGCTAAATGCAATTGGATAACGAAACCAAATGTTACTATTATAATACTGAATATGAATAGATAATATGTCTACAGACAACTTTACATGATTTGATTAAATATCTAAGAAAACAGAAAATTCTATTTAAAACTACAAGAAATGATTTTGGTAAAATGGCTGGATATAAGCATAAGAAAATTAATAGCTCTTATCTCTAAGCATAATAATATGTTAAAAAAATATAGTGACAATACTTAAAAACTTTCGTCAAAAAATAAAAAATATTGGGCCAGCCCAGTGGCGTAGTGGTTAAGCTCATGCGGTCCGCTTCTGGTGGCCCGGGGTTCGCAGGTTCGGATCCCAGGCACAGACCTACACATCACTCATCAAGGCATACTGTGGCAGGCGTCCCACATAAAGTAGAGGAAGATGGGTACGGATGTTAGCCTAGGGCCAATCTTCCTCAGCAAAAACGAGGGGGATTGGCAACAGGTTAGCTGAGGGCTAATATTCTTCACAAAAAAATTAAAAATTAAAAAAAAGAAACGTTTGGGACTAAGTTCAATACAAAGGGAGAACCTATATAAAGCAAACACAAATTCTTATTAAAAAGCTTAAATCAAGATCCACATAAAAAGAATGATATGTCATGCAACGGTTTAACAGTATATACTGTCAGTTATCCCAAAATTAATACAAAACATAATAAAAAGGAGTATTCTCTTTCGAACTGCATGAAATGGAAGAGAAGGTATGTGAGACTAGCCAAGAGGTATATGAAAAATAAGAATAATGTTGGAAACTTGCTATCAGATATTAAAATATCCTATAATACCACTATATTAAAGCAGTATTTATTTTTGGAGTTGTAATAAAGATCAGAGGGAAAAACTAGAGCCCAGAAATAGATCTGAATTAATATTTCTTAAAGTGGTGTTTGAATTCAGCGAGAAATCATCTACTTTAATTAATGGAACTGGAATAATGCAGAATCTCTGTTAAAAAAACAAGTGGTCTCTCTACTTCGCATCTAACTCACATAACACAAATAAATTTCAGATGAATAAAAATCTAAATGCAAACACAAAACAGTACAAATTATTAGAGTAACCAATATGAGTTTATTTGTACAATCTTGGGCTAAAGGAGAATGTCACCTTGCCAAGTACACCAAGAAGATCTCTTGATATGTTTGACAACATGTTTTACAAAAGTTGAGTGGCAAAAAACACCATCAACGAGACTGAAGGAAAAATAAAAATCCAACATTCCAAGACATAGTCCTCATGAAGGGCATCATTGAAAATGGCAAAGTAAGAACACCTGAAAACTCTCTTCCATAAAAGTAATGAGAAAACTGGCCAGAAAATGTCAAATTTAGCTTTCTCAGAACTCTGAAAATTAACTGAAGGCTTGCAGCAATCTGGGGAGCACTTATTAAGAAAAACAGCCTAATCTTAGTAAGAAGTATGAGCTTTGTAGTATTTTAACCTGTCCTAATCCCCTCTCACCAGGTGCATGGTAGCCTTGAATAATAATGTTCCACATTTGTGGAGAAAACCAGCAGTCAGGCAGCAACCAGAGGGAGTAGAACAGGGCTGAAATCCTTTCAAAGCCTTATTCTCAGAGAACTGTCATGATTTGACCCGTCTGGTGGTCTTGAGGAAGACTCCACTTGCTAGGGTGTCTGTATTTGACTTGATTCAGAGCTCACTCAGTACAAAAAGTCTCCCTAGAAAAGTTTTTCCCCAGGCATGATTGTCAAAAAAAATTACAGGCAATTGATTAACTTTGTGGCCACCTAGGACAGTGGATAACAACCGGCACAATATAGAGACTAACCAACAAACTTTAAAAGAAAAGCTTTTGAGAAGAATGAGGTGTTCACAGTGGCTTTGGAAAACTCCAACATATTCCTGGTAATCTAGAAGGCTTCAAATGCACAGAGATGTGTGAAAGCCCAGGGCTGTTCACAGGCTCTGAAAATACCTGAGAAGCCCTTTAAGTCCTCACCTTCGGCAATCTGGAGGCTCTAGGAAAGCAGGAAGTGAGAACTAAGGCAGAGCTGATAACTGCCAAGATGAGTGCAGAGGATGTGCCTAAATAGTACACAAAGCCCCTTGGCATAGACAGGGAGATTTATTGTTTCCAGACTTTTAAGGATCATTTTACAATCACTTAACAGATCATTAAGATGACTGAGAAGAGACTTCAGTGGTTACACACAAAAAAGAAAACAGACTTTAAACAATTCATTCAGAAAGGTCACTACACAAACAAGTAACAACTCCAGCAAACAGCAACAGGAACAAACCCTGCGGAGGAGTATGTTATAAAAATGAAATACAAGTAGTACTAAATATGTTCAACTTACCAAAAGAAATACTAAATGTATTTTTCTTAGAAGAATTATGACCACTAATTAAAGGAATATGTGGATTGATGTTATAACTTTAAGATGAGAAATTCAATGAATTATAAGGTAATTTAATAAATTTCCCAGATAATTGGACATTAGACTTCATTTCTAACCCAAATGAAAATAGGTTTCTTATAAATTTTTGTTTCAAGAAGGCTTTGAAATATTTTCCAGAATTGTTCTTCAGAAACTGTCAAATTACTTTGCCAAGTGATGTGTAAGCTTTCTTACCCACTCATTATTACTATTGCTTGGGAAATAATCATGAAAAAACTATTAATCAAGCTTTTTAGGTAGTCAGCATATTTTGCATGTAATCCTCAGGTAAAGATGTAACTAAGTCATTGAGACAATGAGACACATCCAGCTTGACATGATTACAGGGTATATTCTATGGCTTCAGTTTTGCTGGATTTATTTTTTCCTTAACGTGCAACATTTATTTTAGATTTGTATTAGGACATTTAAGGTTTTTGAATGAGAAAATATCTCTGTAAAATATCCTAATTATTAATGTAGTTCTCAATCACAAACATCATCTAGAAGTCTGAATTTTTCACCCAGGAAGACTTGAAGTTCCTTTTGCAAAACGAATTAATAGGGAGTGAGGAGTTTTCAGAAAAACCTTGATCATCCATTTACAAATCTGAGAGCACATATGAGTATTTCATGGTTTGAACTAATTCGATGAATAATTTTAACAACTTCATGAAGTACTTCTCTTAAAATCCCTGAATCTCTGTTTGCAATGGCTTCTCTATGAATACAACAGTGGGTGCATTTGCCTTCCTTGGCAATTGTTTGAATATATGTACAAACTATTTTCTTTCAGCTAGCTATAGCATTAGCATCATCTGTGCTTAACCAAAAACAGATTCCAGAATCTGCTGCTGTTTCTCAAGAAGTCATCAATAAGTTTAAATTTTTTTTAATTTGTACACATTAGCAAAGAATTCACAGTATGAATGAATTCATCAGTTTGCAGTGAATTATAACAATTTTTTATACCAGAAATAATAATTACTTCTTTACATATTTGGTCATCTCTATAAGTAAAAGATGAATTATATTTGACATAGTCATTTAATGAATCATTTTGTTTTTTATATCCCTGAATCTCCCTGTCACCATTTCTTTGTTGGCAGGCTTGATAAATATCCTGTTAACTGCTTCAGCAGATTCGGGTTCTGAAATTAATTGTAATGTTAAAAACATAATTCTGAAGTCTTAGCATTTTCATTCTATGTTACTCTTCACTTAGACTTGAGTATCCTTCTATTTATTTTAAAATTTTGATAGGCTTTGTAAGATATTTTTTGTGCTTCAACATATTTACTGGTGGATTATTTAATAATTGTGACCATTGTGACCAATCCTAGAAACCATAAGAAAATAGATTTGTTTTCTTCACCAGTTCAAAAAATCCAAAATTCAAATAAATTTGAATTATTCCCACACTAATGTTTTTCTTTGTAGCTTGTGCTTTGGCAACATTAGTAAAGGGTTTTTAGGCAATACTTGAATTTGGTCTTCATACCTATCTAAAGACATGTAACTGATTCCATCACATTCTTCACTAGTATCTTTACCTCTACACATAAAAATCCTTATTTTTAACCACTTATCTATGATTGGGCCTATAAAAGTGCAAAAATCAGAAACAGGCCCAAAACCACTTTCTAATTTACTTTCCAGATCAGATGTGGTAGCTCTAACACCTAAAATTATACGTATTTTATATACTAAACAATCGTCAGTCTTTAAAAGTGAATTTTCCAATGTGTTTTCCAATAGAAAGAATAAAAGATAAACTTTAAAATTCAGTGCCTGAGGGTCAAAATTAATGATCTGTGCCAGCATGTCACTGATAGGTGTTTGGTGGAAGGCTCTAAATGCGGCTCTGAAACATTCATGAGCACATCTTAAGTACTACATGTGTAATTCTTGCAATCTGCCATTTTTACATAACTACTATTACTCTAGCCCTACCCTAAGATATAAAATCCATGGAATCACTGGTATTATGTGCTAATTGCTTACCTAATAT